CGTGGTGGGGGGGGGGGGGGGGGGGGGGGGGGATAAACCACATAGTAGTTAATGGTGGGTAGGAAAGAAATACTTCTACAAAAGATTATTTTAAACATGCATAGTCTTGGTTTGGTGATGTTTTTTTAACTTTAGTTGAAGTTTCCCTGTTTTAGCCAGAGATGTGTAGTGGACTAGCAAAGTCGGGCATGGCCATCATATCCTCTTTACAAATACCAGTTTTGGTTTTGCCTACACAATTAAAGTTCAAAAGGATATAAAGTCTTCAGCTACCTGTTCTTTACTCGGTAAAAGTGGATTTGTATCAACATTTACTACATCTACTGACACGCATGTCCACAGCCCACTGGTCAGTGAAGAAACTAACACTGAGTTCATGCACTGGATGAACACTATTTTTGTTACTTCCTTCCATGCTCACCCTGTCCCACTGAATCAGACAATGACTGCTTCCTGAGTCATGGCCTTCCTCAGCACTTGCTGCTTCTGCAAAATCAACAGATGCTAACCCTTGACCAAAATACAGGCCATCCACAGCAATCTGGGAAAGTTTAGCCAGACTAACCCATGTGGTATATTTAGGGCAGCTGTTTTCCATGAGGAACAGGTATCTAGAAATAGCTCATCATACAGTCACAAGAGCGGAAGAGAGCCCCTTCTTGCCTGTAGAGCTTTGTGGAGTAAAAAAGCAGCATCAGCAGTTCCAGCAGGTTTGCTGCAATCCTGGCCACTGCCAACACTGCAACTTCAGAGGCTGCTGGCTCCTGCAAAGGCAACTTCCCATGGGTGGCCTGTAAGATCGAGGCAGGGAAACAACTGCCATGTACATCTGGCATGGAGAAAGGTCAGAGACAAAAGCTCTCGTCTAGATAACTGGGTATCAAAAGCAAGCACATAGGAAACAGGCCCCCTCCTCCAGTCATAGTAAAAGCTATTTGGAAAAGGTGATGGGGAGTATTCTGGAGCATAGAGGAAGCAATTGGAGAGTCTGTTTAGCTGTGGGGAAAGGACTATGAATAACTAACTTACATTTAAATGTCTCTGCTTCCAGAACTTGGCAGCTGGCTTGATGTTCAAACTGATCATCTTCACAGAGGAAATTGTGGCAAAAAGAACAGGCAAATATTCTGCCTCCTAAAAGATTTATCAAGGCAAAATAATCAGCAATGGGCATACCATCAAATTCTGCTCTGCAAACAATTTAGGCAGTAGTTTTGACTGAAGAACAGTTCTCCCTTCTGTCACAAACGCTTCAACAAAGTCCTAAATTAGACGCTGCCATCCATTATTACAATGAAAGATACCACATAGGCCACAATACAAGACAGCATAAATATAAAGAAAGTATTATGTCTAGTGTTTTTCTTCATTTTAATTTGACTATGGCACTAAGTATTTTTCTTAAATTGGATCACATCCTCTCTCATCCAGTCTCCTTTCTTCCCACCCCCTCACCTCTGATGCACACTTGAAATAAACACTTTAAAGGATTCCACAGATGGAGATCAGTATGGTTTGCTAAGCAATTGGGAATCCAAATACCTGTACTAGCATAGATGAATGGAGTGGGAATGGCAGAAAAATTGTGTGTTGACAATGTGATGCAGTGCTTAATTATGTGAAGCACTCAGCTGATAAGACAGTTAATACTTTAGATTACATAACCATCCCCAAGTTGAGCCCTGTATGTTCTTGAGCAGGTCGTTTACATTCCCCACTGCATAAGGTCTATTTTTAAAATAGGGAGAATGCCTTGGTTTGAATGAACATACTGCAAAGACTAATCACTGAAGATTAAAAATGCTATGTTAAGAATATAGGTACAATAACTTAAGCAATGTGAGGAGAAAAGTATCATTTAGATTTTCTTACTTTTAAGTGTGAGCAACCTACCATGGTCCCAGACACTTCTTTCGCACTCAATACATTCTGCATCTGCGAGAGGACAGATACACGCATGTGTGCTGAGACACTTCCTCCCATGACACACCCAAGCTTCACAGAAGTCACAGATTGCACCCTGCAATTACAGAAAGATATCATCTTGGGACTTCGGCAATACCAAGAGAGAGACTCTTATTCCATAATGCCAAATGTATCCAAGTATTCATTTTCTCAGTGGGTTCACTTCAGTTGAGCAAGCGAGTATGAACCGCATCTGTATTCCTATCAAGCTGCTCCACAGTTCATCTTGTTTGATATTCACTTCTGCAGGATTAAATATAATGCAAAATAACTTTGTTTTATCCTTTGCTGTTTTTTACATTTCCTATCTTAAATCTTATGCATGAAAATTGTGTCTTCCAGCTGAAACCTGAGATCCATAAATGATAACAATGTTCTGGCAAAAATGCAATTTCAAAGATGACCTGAAAAATGCCACTAGATTTTTACAGCTGAAATCAGTCATTTGGATTTTAAAGCATGCTGTATTAGAACACAAGCTCTGTAGAGAGCAAAGATCAAATAACTAATTAGAAATAAATTAGACATTCTACCTTTCCTTTTGATTAAATTGCAAGATCTACATATAAACTATCCTTTAATTGTAGCATTTAAGAAGCCTCCTCAGCCCATACGTGACAAACTACTACATGCATTACATGCACACAAAACTAAGAAAACAATGATGGATCTGAATTAACTGTTGATGAAAATACTGCATTAGTGAACACATGGAATGAGTTTAGGAACTTCAGACTAGAAAGGCCAGCCGTGTTACTGAGAACAGCTGACTGCCAACTGGAGGCAGAACCAGGACAGAGGTTTAGTCCATCCAGCATTTAATCCAGAGACTCATCTCATACCTTCCTTTCCAGAATGGAGTAACTAACTTGTCCTCCTAAGAACAAGAATTCAAAGGCCAGAAGCTATGACTATCTCTGCTAAGAGCCCAAATTACTTTTTTTTTTTAAAAAAACCAAAACTCCCCCTAATGTCATGGAACAGATTTGTCTCTGTGATACTGATGGTCTCCGCAATACTGAGAAGACGGCAACAGAAGTCCACCGGTTTCTACAGAATGATCCTAGATTTTAATGAAGACTAGGAACCGGCTATGGGGGCATGTAATTTCCAGTGCTGTTAATGCATGTGCTTAGGGCCTGCCACCAGCACGGATCTGTTAGCATCCAGGACATGTGTCAGAGTTTGCAGGAGCTGAATCTAAAAATGCAAAATTTGGGTTGCCAGTATAAGGGAAAAATCAGTTTGTGATGGTAAAATGAGAAAAAGAAAAAAACAACTTGGCATGGTACATACTATCATTCCATAAATCCATTTTATCTTTTTTCAGAAAGATTTGCATAGAATAACCTCATAGTGCAAAAAAGGCTGTAATTTTATATACATACCACCATTGCTAGTCCAGTGCTGTACACACCAGCATGTTTTATAACACAGTCTGAAGACTTCATCATGCATTTGGTTTTTCCTGTTTAAAAAAAAAAAAAAAGGCAAGCAACCAGAAGAAAACTATATGAAAGTAAGAAAAAATTAGAATGAATGTTCATATAAGAGCAGTACTTCAACCAAGCTCCTGTGCTTAATTGTAAATCCAGGTAAAAACAATGTAAGCAAATGTCTGTAACCTGCAACCCACCCTCACATCTCCCTTAGATCAAATTGATTATTGTCTGCTTTCAGCCAAAATCTTTTGCCCCAGTACTAAGATAACAAGGCAATGTGTTGTCTTGCTCTACAGTTTGAGGCATTGGCAAGAATTTCAAATGTGAAAACAAACAAAAGAACAAAATTAAGGTGAAAGTCAAGCAATGACATCTTAAAAAGTTGCATTTAAAACTGCTGCTAGTTCTGTCCCACCATAAAAGCAGCATTTGCTTTGTGTAAAGCTGAGGTCCCATGAAAAAAAAACCACAAACAAACAAAAAAACTTGTGCACCTGATGATTTAATTACTTGCAGGTATTTGGATACTTGGGGTTTTTGGCGATTGTTGGGGGTTTGGGTTTTTTTTTTTTTAAAAACCATGTAAGAGATTACTTCCTAGACAAAATAATTCCCTTTAAATGCAGGGGATGGGTGGGAGAAAAAGCTACAGTCTGCACTTAAAAGTCATTCTGACATAAGCAAGCAGTTAGGGTGACAACTTTCTCCTACTCCTTGCCTCTGACATAAATAGCTCTACCAGAAAGATCCATGCTCTGTATGCAGTTATACAAGCAAAAAGAAAAAATATTGTAGTTAGTCCAGGCTACTGCAATGGAGTTTTATCACTGATTTAAGCTGTCCTGCCACAGACCCCTTTGGTGTCTCCATTATTGCCTGCTTAGAGAAACCAACAAAAGGGTGCTCCCTGCAAACCCATTCAAGAGCTGACAAAACCAAATTCTACTCTGAAAATGTAATTAAATCCCAGTATGCAGTATCAGCAGAGTTTTGTATTAAATCACACCTCAGACACCTAATGGCACTTGGAGGGTGAGGAAGGACCAGTGGTGGGCTGAGCTGGGCAATGAGAGGTGGTGGGGGTATTACTGGGTCTGGAGAACTGCAATACAGCTACCTTGCTCACATCCCTCAGGGACTTCTCTAAGAAAGACGCTGTTGGTTTACAGGGGCTGTCCCCAATGCTTGATTAAGCACCAAATAGCTCTAATGGTCTTTGTCTTGGAAAACCTTGGGACTCAATATGATTTTGTGGTTGTTATTAGAAATGCTTTTCCTCCAGAAATGTACTGCAGATTAAGATAAATTCAACACACAGGAGTCAGCTTCAGATGTGTAATATACTATAAGATAGACAACATGTTTTCAGTACTTCACTGCATGATGATAGAAGACTTATGAAGGCTGACACACTGAAATTGCACACTAACAGCCTGGCTTCCAGAAATGTTCAGTATCTGCAGGTCCCAACAAAGGCACTGGAAGCTACAGATGTCAGCAGCTCTGGGAGTCAAACTACAAAACAGCCAAATTGCTTAATGAAAAACTGAAAATCTGCAAGGATGTGTTGAAACAGTAAAACAACAAAATTCACCTCAAAATATGAAACAATTATCAACACCCCCTGCAAGCAAGCAGCTGTTTAAAAAAAAAGGGGGGGGGGCATTTGAGCCTGATTCAGAGCAGAGTTCTGTCACTAAGAGTCCTTCTCTTCTGATTTCAAAGCATCAGCCCTCTAGCAGATATAAATAATATGAGCAGCATATTACATTACAAAACCATGCAAGGTGAGTAATGTACTGTTGCTTTAATTGATATTAAACTGATCAGAAATTACATCACCCCTAAAAATCAGTATTTATTGGCGCCTTGCTGGCAGTCAGAGCATTTTTAACTTTGCTGCTGTTATGAAACAATACTCCACACGTTCAATCTAGGGAAATAGTCAGGTGTTCTCAATCCTAAAAGGCAGTGAGACAAGTTCTTCTGAAGACCAAATACTGAAGACAAGGCCATGACCCAGACTTGGAAACCTCTGCTGGTCAGAGGCATACGCATTAGTGCATAATCAAGTAAGATCTCTTCTCAAGGAGGATATTCATCACAGATTTAAAAGAACGTGCTCCAAAAATCACAAAGGTACTTTAAGACAAAGGTACTCTAACTGCTGAGAGTTTAACACCACAAATGGAACTGAGAATAGCATGTTTTTGTTCATTATTTCTACTTACCACATTGTGCACAAATGGGTAATTTCTGAACAGAGTTACAGAAGTAGCAAAAAGCTCTATTCTTCTGTCGTCTAGGCACATGGAGAGAAAAAAAAAAACCAAACAGAAAGCAAGCATTAAAAAAAACCTGTAAAATGTTTGAAACCAATTAATATTAAACTACTGGTTTTAGAAGGTGAAAAATACTTACCTTTGGCACTTATCACATTCCTAAAGAGAAGAAATAAAATACCAGTAATTATTTTTATTCCAGGTAAAATATACAAAATTTACAGACCCCACAGGGACTCTGAATTAGGTTCTGATTAGGAATCAAACTTTTTATTCAAGCATTATACCTCTGATGAAAATCTAACTTAATATAAAGGAAGGATGGTAGGAAGAATGACATTCCAGTGGCATTAAATACAGTCAATGTATTACCACTGGTTTTACATAATTCAAAATCAAGTATTGTAGTATAAAATACTTCAGATTATTTTACCATTGAAGCATTACAAGGATGTTTGGCTAAATCTATGTTGCCTCTTGAAGCCCTTATCTGCTTTTCACGTTCACGACGGTTCTCAGCTTTCTTACGAGCACCAGTCTTCTTTTTAGGCATTTTTCACTATCTGTGGGAGGGAAAAAAATGTTATGTAATGAATGCACACAAAACTATGTATGTAAATACATGGATACACATGACACATCCAGCACTAAAACTGGATCTTGGAGTTTCCATGTTAAATGTGCTTAATTTCCACTAACTTCCTTTCCTGAAAGTTTCTTTTCAAATGTAGAATAAGGGACCAGTCCCTTAGGAAGAGTCATGTGATGAACCATGAAGAATCTTGTGATCTGGAAAGGACTTTGCTGTCTTAAATTTTGCGCTTAACTATCTTTATCTTAACTTTTATCTTAAGTGTTTTGCCTTAAAAAACCCAACCCCACTGTTTTGTAGGTTTGTGATGGGCCTCTGGTTTTGGTTTGCCTTGTCTATTTAACAAGGGCAATATTCAGCTCATTTTCTCTTTTGCTTCTCTCTCTTCCCATGCTCATTAACTACTTCAATCAGTTAAAAAGCGTTTTTCAGGTAAGCGAATCATGGTATACTGCAAAAATGCAAATTTCACACTCCATGAAAGCTTAGAAAACAAAGTGTCGTTATATAGATTTAATAGCTATGACAAAGGAATGTTTGTACTGCTTACTTATCATTCTAGCACATTAGCAATAATGGAAGAGACGAGCATGCATTGCTTTGAAGACACCACTGTTTCCCAAGAAGGGTTTACGCTAATTTAATTCCATCTGGTTCAACGCATGTGTCTATTTTAACATTCTAGGAGGGAACCAATGCAATACAGTGGTGAGACCATCAGGCAATCAACCAGACCACTGCTTTCGTCACGTCCACAATGAACTGTGCGGTACTCACATATGCTTAGTTTACTCTGTGTTTATAATACATTAGGCAAGTATTATCCTGACTTCATGAAATGGGCAACTGAGAGATTAAAGGCGTGGTCTGACGTTAGAATTTCTCTCATCAACACAGGCACTTAAGATAGACACCCTTCCTTATGCTCCATGTTATCATCCCCTCATTTCTGCTCCTGTAACTGTTCTTGGTGTCACATTCTAAATCAGATACAGGTTAAAAACAAAACCAAAACACCCAAACCAACAAGCACACCCAAGGCCCAGATTAGCACAATTTGATAGGGGATGACAGTGAAAGGGACAGCAGGGATATTTGCTTAGCAACCATGGGAATAAGAAAGCAGCTAAAGAAGAAGCAAGGACCTCTCCACTGACATAAAAAATTGCATTATTAAACATAGTTCTAAAAAAAACACTTCCAACTCCATGGCCCAGGTGGACACACTGCTTCATGCTGTAGCTGCCAAACCATACTTCCTTGCAGACAACAAGATGGCTGAATTTTTGGAAGTGTTTAGCTCTTATTTTGGTACCTCACAACAGGGCTTCTGTTTTGAAAAACTGGCTTCTCTAGGAAGTTGCCCCAACATATTTTGCACTGTACAACTCCCCACAGTTCTTTTAGCTACAAGTACACCTAAGAGTGCTCCTTGCTCTGCCTCTGATTTCTGTAACTGCAGAAATATACTTTCAAACAATTGATAACTGAGACACAAGTGTCATCTTAAAATCTCAATCTCTACTTATGGAATTTGAAGAAAATTGCTACAGACTTTGGGGGTTGGCAGAAACTGGCCCACATGATGGAACAGCTCTGCCCAGGTGTTGTGGTTTAACCCCAGCTAGCAACCAAGCCCCACAAAGCCACTCACTCACTCCTCCCCAGTGGGATGGGAGAGAGAATGGGAAAAGTAAAAGTGAGAAAACTCATGGGCTGAGATAAAGACAGCTTAATAGGTAAAGCAAAAGCCACACACGCAAGCAAAGCACAACAAGGAATTCATTCACCACTTCCCATCGGCAGGCAGGTGTTCAGCCATCTCCAGGAAAGCAGGGTCCATCACGCCTAACGGTTACTTGGGAAGACAAATTTCATCACTCCAAACGTCCCCCCACCTCCTTCTTCTTCCCCCAGTTTATATGCTGAGCATGACGTCATATGGCCTGGAATATCCCTTTGCCCAGTTGGGGTCAGCTGTCCCGGCTGTGTCCCTTCCCCACTCCTTGTGCCCCCCCCGCCTGTTCGCTGGTGGGGTGGGGTGAGGAGCAGAAAAGCCCTTGGCTCTGTGTGAGCACTGCTCAGCAGTAACTAAAACATCCCTGTGTTATCAACACTGTTTCCAGCACAAATCCAAAACACGGCCCCATACTAGCTACTGTGAAGAAAAGTAACTCTACCCCAGCCCAAACCAGCACACCAGGCAAGGTTCCGCTGATTCCAGTAGGTCTGTCGGTGGCTACCAGGGCCACTGAGGAAATGGGAGGTACCTGCTCTCCCCAGCCTCATCCCTAACTCCAAGCAGACATGTAGACATGCATGCTGGCATCTGTAAGGAGAGCTGCAGCATCGGCAGGCAGTGAATTGTAGCAGCTTAAACTTGGAAGAAAAATTAGTGTCTTCGTTCAAAAGGTCTTATAAAATAAACCCAACAATTCTAACTTTCCCGAACAAAGAAATATATTGTCCTGACCAAATACTAAAATCTGTTTTTGATAGCACACATAAATCAGTTTTCTCACCCTGTAGCATTTTGCACCATGTTTAAATTGTATTAGTGTCATATTTTGTAGTCAAAATCGTATTGCTGAGCTGCCTGCTGGCAACTGTCATTATTCTAAAGCATGACATTTCTGACACTGGGAGTCCAATATGAGGTTGCGCGCTAATTTTCAAACTGCTTAAATGCTGATTTAACAACAGAATCTAATGGTTAGTATTTATACCTTGACTTCTTCACGTTACCTCATAATCAAAAGCACGAAAATGACAAACTGTTTTCATCAAAAACACTGTCTCAATGACTACTGAGGACACAGATTATGAGAAATCTTTAAGATGGTAGTTTTTAGAAAGTTGCACTAAACTAAATAACAACAAAACTGCAATGTCAGGTCATTTTAACAAAGCTATCAAGTCAATCCAGGCTTTCAGACACCACCCAACAAGTAACAACATCTTACAGATCAGTATTCTATCACTCTTTCCCTCTGAGCTTCCACTTAAGATGTTTGTCATCTTTGCCCTGAGTTCTAAATTTTTAGGGAACTTACCATCTTTAAATTTTCTGTCTAGAGCTTAATAGTGTTATGATGCCAGAAATTATGATAGCAAAAACTTTGTTTACCTGCAATTCCTTTCAAATCAGAGTATTGCACCTTTTAAAAGCACTAATCAGTATTTAAAATGCCTCTGCAGTGTGTTCCACCTCCACTTTTGGCAACGCTTCTGTAATCCGAGGTTGATGAAGACCCAAAAATGTGTTTAGGCACCATAACACTGTTACCAAATGCTCAGACAGCAAAGACCCAGTGGAATCTGTCTGCAGTCCAGCTCTCCTGGATGGTGCATGGGACAGAAAAGTGCCTCTGGAGGACCTAAAACAAGAGGTCGAGTTATCAAGAAAATGCCTACAGTGAGCTACTCACTTAAGATCTACCTGCCAGAAAGACAGCGTCAATCTTTTGCTTAAACAGAGTCTTTTTGCTGAAGGCAGAGACTTACAGCCATGCTAGCACCCTCCTTTTCATCTACGATGCTGTTGTAAGAGAACTTGCCCAGGACACAGTAGGGCCATGCCTGGTTCCCTCCTCAGCCCCAGGAGGTATGACCGTGCTGCCCTACAGAGTGTCCGAGCTCCCGAACTGGGAGCAGTTCTGCATATGGGGTTTTTCTTCATTTGAAGTTTTCTACTCGGGAGCAAAATGCTCCAGACTGATTGGGTTGGAGCAGCAGCAGGAGCGAGCGTGACTTTCCAGCTTAATGGCTGATGCTGTGGCACAGAAAGCACAGAGTTCAGATATCGGGAGGCTGTGTATGAAGCGAGCAGTAGTTCAAAGGAAAAGCCCTAAAATATGTTGTGTGAGTACTGGGTCCCCAGCACCGCATGTTTCATTCTGTAAAAGTTTCACCTGCTGTTCCTCAGGTGCTGCAGTATTTGGTAAGGTAAACACAGGCAAAGACAGCAGAGTTCCCACCACAGCTCCAAAGCTGCTTGTGTATTTTAACCGATGGTTGCGCTATGTAAAATACATAAAAAGTGTCTGGCATCTAAATTCTGTTGAGGTCGTACCACTCCTATGCTGTCTTTTCTCCCTCTTGAAGGTTGTCCTTGATCAGGTCCCAAAGACACACACTAAGTTTGCACCAGACAGGAAAGCAGATTGCACCAGCAGATTTCCGGATCTTCTGTGTTAAGCACGACATTCCCTTGCGTCATATTATCTTGTCTTATGTGATACGCTAACCACCCTGCTGTCACAAATATAACGAACAGCTGTAAGAAGCTATTCATTTGGGGGGCAGGGGAACCGTCGGGTTACTCTTGTCATGCCACGCAAATACTAAGACCCAAAAGAGGCTTTCCATATTTCAAGACTTCTTCTATTTGACCATCAAATAGCTTCTACCTTATGCATATTCATCAAAAGAGGAATCACGGTAAATTTCCTGGGTCACATCTGATGCCATTCAGAATTCAACAAAATCCGTTTTACCACTTTGCAAGCGTTATACGAGACTACACTATTAAAAAACCCAAAACCAACCAAATCTCATTAGCAGTATGTCGTACTTATGCCGTTCCAGTCCGTGATTCCTTCTAACAACGCAATCATTTCCAAGGCACTGCCATTTCAACGACTTACCCCACTTTTTAGCAACACGGTGACCGACAGCACTCTGCCACCTCAGCGCCTGGGGGGCTGCTGTGCTGCCGTGAGGGCCCACGCCTGAGGAGCTTTCCTCTCTGCCCGATCCCCTCCTCTAGAAACGCACCTCGCTCCCGGTGGGATCGCCGGCTGGGCAACGCCCCCCCCCGGGTAACGGTTGATCCCCCCGGTAACGGCTGCCGAGCGTGAGGCCGACGCGCCCTCACGACCCGATTTGAGGCTGTTAGGCGGAACGCCAACAGCAGGCTAGCTTTTCGGAAAGCGCACGTATTCAGTATTTTACCTTATTTTTAGTTTGGTTTTTGTTTGTTTGTTTTTTTTTTTTTTTACCTAGGCCCCCAAACCGTGTCGTGACACGTTTCCAACCTGGATCGCCGCGCTCTGTAGTTCTCGGCACTTTATGCCGCGGGAAGCCAGCGACCGCTTCGCTTGCTCAAACGGGGAAGCGGCGCGGGGG